GGATATCCCTAGGCAAAATATGAAGCTGGACCTTATTCCACCATACATGAAAATCTACTCAAAATGGATTTAAAACTTACACATAAGACCTGAAACTAAAAAATACTAGTTGAAAAACGAGGGAGCTCTTTGACAATTGGCCTTGAAATGATTTTTTTTTTTGTCAATCATACCTCAATAAAACTGAAGGGGAGGCTGGGTATGGTGGCTCACGCCTGTAGCCCAGCACTTTGGGAGGCTGAGGCGGGTGGATCACGAGGTCATAGATCGAGACCATCCTGGCTAACATGGTAAAACCTGTCTGCTCTAAAAAATAAAAAAAAATAGCTGGGATGTGGCACGCGCCTGTGGTCCCAGTACTTGGGAGGCTGAGCAGAAGAATTGCTTGAACCCAGGAGGCGGATGGTCGCAGTGAGCCAAGATTGCACCACTGCACTCCAGCCCGGTGACCGAGCAAGACTCTGTCCCAAAAAAAAAAAAAAAAAAAAAAATGAAAACCTATACGATCTGAAAAAACAAAGCACCACCAGGAACTAATAACATTAGAGAAACACTAGCCTAAAAGGCCAGAATACACATTCTTTCAAGTGTACATGTTATATCACCAGATAGAAGTAGTGTGAATAATGTTAGTAAAAATAAAAGGATCGAAATAAAGGGTCTGTTCTCTGACCCCAGTAGAATTAAATTAGAAATCAAGGAACGCAGAGTAACCCAGAGTAATAAAAGAAAGAACAATAAAGAATTGCAATAATGAAGGGGAAATCAGACAAACAGCAGAAAAAATTAATAAGGCCAAAAGTTGTTTATTTGAAAAGATCAGCCAGTGAACTGATAAAGTCAACAAAATTTATAATATTCTAGCTAGACATGTCAAGAATAAAAACAGAGAACATCACCCAGAAGAGGATAATTAGAAGATGCATCTTAAATCCCAAGGACCGTAAAAAAAAAAAATATTTAACATTTTATCTCAATATTTTGACAAATTAGATAGCAAAAATTCCTTAAATACACCATTTACAAAGACTAAGATAAGATAAAAGAGAAAATCTCAATAGCCCCTTGTCTATTAAAGAAATTTACTTTGTTATCAAAAACCTCCCCACAAAGAACTCACACCAACATAGTTTTACTGGTGAATTCTGTCAAACACTTAAAGAAGTAACATCAATCTTATACCAACTCAGAAAATAGAAGAGATACTTTTCAATATTTCTTGAGGCCAAAATAAACGAATATCAAAGCCAGAGAAATTACAAAAAGAAAAAAAGGAAGAGAGAAGGAAAGAAAATATAGACTAATATCCTTCATTAACAAAGATATAAATACATAAAAACAAAATAGTACCAAATTGAATCTAGCAGTATATAAAAAGGATAACACATCATGACTAAATGAGGTTTATTCCAGAAAGGCGATGTTGGTTTAATGTTTGAAAAACAATTAACATAATTACCATATTAACAGATAAATGACAAAAACCATATAGTCATCCAAATAGATGCAGAAAAAAATTTGACAAGATTCAACATCCGTCTATGTATGTATATACATATATATATAATGTTCTTGGATTGACTCAGTAAGATTTACTTTCTTTGCAATTGATTTATATAAGAGTCAATATAATCCTATTCATATTCCTACCAGGAATGAATGTTGTAGAGACAGAAAACTTGATTTTAAATTTATGGGGAATGCAAAAGATCTAGAAAATCCAAAGCAATTTGGAGGACAAATTGGAGAATTTACATTATCTAATTTCAAGACTTAATGTGAGTCCAGGCATGGTAGCAAACCACAGCACTTGAGAGGAAAAGTCCAGTGGATCACTTGAGCTCAGGAGTTCCAAACTAGCCTGAACAACATGGCGAAACCCTATCTCTACCAAAAATACAAAAAAATTGGCCAGGCGCGGTGTCTCATGCCTGTAATCCCAGTACTTTAGGAGGCTGTGATGAGAATATTCCTTGAGGTGAGGAGTTTGAGGTCAGCCTAACAGGATGAAACCCTGTCTCTACTAAAAACACAAAAATATAGCCAGGCATGGTGCCACGTGCTACATACCTATAGTCCCAGCTACTTGGGAGGCTGAGACAAAAAATTGTTTGAGCACAGGAGGCAGAGGTTGCAGTGAGCCAAGATTGTGCCACTGCATTCTAGCCTGGGTGACAGACTCAGACTCCATCTCAAAAGAAAAATTAGCTTGGGTGTGATGGCACACGCCTGTGGTTTTGCACACCTGTGGTTCCAGCTGCTTGGGGAGGCTGAGGTGTATAGCTTGAAGTGTATAGCTCAAGAGTGTAGCTTGAGCACCAGAGATGGAGGTTGCAGTGAGCTCTGATGGTGCCACTGCACTCCATCCTGGGTGACAGAACAAGACCCTATCTCAAAAAAAAAAAGACAATGTGAAATTACAGTTATTAAGACAGCATCATTCTGTCATAAATAGTCAAGTATACGAACAAATTAGAGAACACTGAAAAGACCCACACTTGCACTATCAACCGATTTTCAACAAACGAACCAAAGCAATTCAATGGAAATTGTAAATCTTTCAACAAATAGTGCCAGAATAATTGGATATCCAGATGGGAAAAAATGAACTCTCATCTTTATCTCACACTATACGAAAAAATTATTTACATTGGTTCAGAGACCTAAACATAAAGCTTCTATAAGAAACACACGGCCGGACACAGTGGCTCATGCCTGTAATCCCACACTTTGAGAGCTGAGGCAGGCAGATCACTTGAGGTCAGGAGTTTGAGACCAGCCTGGACAACACGGTGAAACTCCATCTCTACT